CTCACTCAAAACCATTCACTTGTCAAATAAATTGATTTTGAATTCTCAGCTCGTGGTAACCCTCGGCAAAAATATTTTCGAAATAGAAGCAACTTTCTTAAAACCTCTTTTTTCTGATACACGTATTCAAATATTTTGTTAAACTTGTTTTTAAAATTTATTTTGAATTGCTAAACACATAGCAGCCCCTTTAAAAATACTCGTATTTCTGAAATAAAACTTTCTTAAACTTCCCTATGATGCACGCATTAAAATATTTCGTTTGACATACTAATTAGTCAATGTTAACTTTTTAACAGGAGGCAAACCCTTAAAAAATATTTTTGAAATAAACCTCTTTCGTTTGACGCCCACATTGCTATAATATTTTATGTAACTTATTATTTGATTTTTTTTTGTTTGCCTTTGTAAAAACTGGCAACTCTCTTCAAAAAATCATATATGTATGTTAATACAGGTTATTCATTTCATTGAAATTCGTCCAGCCATTTTAGCGTGGAAGAACAATAACATACTCACACACTCATTCACTCACAAACTTTCACATTAGTGCTGATTGCATTGGTAGGATTATTTATTGATTTATTTTTTTTCTATTTTTTCCTTTATTTTTCCATTTTCTTTTTACTTATTATTAATATTATTATTTTTTAAATAGTACCAATCAAGATAGTAGCGAACCGTCCCACTGTGCTTAGTAGCTGGGTAGCTGGGGCAAACAAGAAAGTTTACACTTTACAAAAGCTTTCATGAAACAGCTGTAAAAAGCTGCTTCTTAAAAATGCTTCCCCTACTAATGAAGCTCCACTTGTATCCTAAATAAGTATTACACTATATATCAAATGCTGAGGTGGTAGAGCAAGTAGAGAGCGAGAGCTTTTTTTCTTATGAACTCAAGAAGCTTATGCCAGTAAAACAGATGTAAACCAAATTCGTAATTTTGCATTAGGGAGAGAGATTATATACATACATACATAGATGCGCTCAGCAGAATAAACAAATGGAAAGTAATTCATAGATACTCGCTTAGACGCTTCCAAACAATGAGAAAATACTACTTGGCGATAATTGAAATTTAGCAAAATGCAAACGAAATTGAAAGCAAATACAAAAGAATGCGCATAAAAACTGCGTGTGGCATTAGTTTATGCATTTTATTGCCTAAATAAAAGTACAGATACATTTAGTAAATTTATACCATGTACATATATACAAATGTATGTGTATGCAAACCAACGTACTTCAAGCAGTTAATTTTAAATTGTGGGAATATGCTGCTTCTATCAGCGTGAAAAGAGAACGCGTGGTGTATTGCATTTAATGTTTATATTTATTTCTAACTTTTATGCAAGCAAGCGTTGTCCGATCCACGTATGTATTTGTTGGTATATGTGTTTGTATATTTCACCTCCGCAGACGAAAGGTCGACTATTCTTTCTCTCAAATGTACATTCGTTATTTTATCAGAGTCTTCATTTAACAGTCTCGGATGACTAATAGACCAGACCAATACTCTCTGTTTGACTGCTTTTCTAACTAGTTTTTTTAACAGTGGCGTATTCAAGTGGGTTACTGGTTATTTGGGGCCTTCAAGTGCCACATTTAAATTACTTTTGTATGTATGCTTACGTACCCAATATTTGGTCAAGTTTCCCTAACTAATTTAATTATAAACTATACATTTAAACATCCAATGCACTTGACTATTTGATGTCCATTTAATACGCTTTTACGGATTGTATGCACATGCATATATTTTTATGTATCTTCTTAAATAGCCGGCGATCGCTTAATGATGACATCAGCTAACTCGCATAGCGTATCTTATCTCTAGCCTGCAAATGCATTTTCAGATAAATACACATGCATACATACTTACATACATACATACATACACATATATACAGTGTATTTACATTTTCTTTTCTTTTTGTACTGTGTAGAAAAAGAATTTGTTTTTTTTAGCATTTTCGAATCTAGAATACTTTTATTCTTGGCCTGAAGGTCGTCGCACAGATTTGTTTTCAATGGGTTTACATAAATAAATTCATCTATACTCGTTTTACAAGCAACAATGACCGTGCGTGGATGTCGTGCGAGTCTGTAAGATAGTTCGTTGCCAAAAATCGCGCGCAATCAATTAAAAATTTTTTGCGCACTCTCAAAAGCACAGTGTTTTAATAAAATCAGTATTAATTTTGCGTAGTAATTGTAATAATTACTAAAAGCTAGTATACCGATCCACATTTGCGGTTAAAGAAGACTAGGAGGGACTGATTATTAGCTTCATAAACCTAAAAAACTTCTTCCAGATATAACTTGGCAAGGTATTTTTCCCTATAAAAGAAACGAGCTTTGTTGAACTCGGCTAAAATCGCTTAGCCAGTTACAGCGCCAAATAAGAAAAAGCAGAATAAAAATATGCGGCCGCTGTGGTGTAGTGGTAAGCAGTGCGCGCTTTCACACATCAGCACCTGGGTTCAAGCCCTGGTCAAAGCAACATCTCAAAAAATATAGAAAACGGTTTTTTCTTAACAGCGGTCGTCCCTCGGCAGGCAATGGCAAACCTCCGAGTGTATTTCTGCCATGAAAAACAGCTTCTCATAAAAATACAATCGCCGTTCGGAGTCGGCGTAAAACTGTAGGTCCCTCCGCTTTGTGTG